CACACACACACACACACACACACACACACACACACACACACACACACCTGAACCTGTCTGTTCACCTGTCTCACCTGAAATGCTTGTTGTGACACAGAAGCTGCTGCGGGCGAAAGAGGAGGTAGGATTAACGATTTCACCTGAATGTCTCGTCACGTTGCAGACAGAACACATTTTTATGAAATGTTTACTTTTTTGTCCAATTTCTCAACTTTTTATCATTAAAATCATCTAAATACTTTAATACAAATACTTAAATTCTGAATTTTGTTTACATTTTCAAAAGTATTTGTTTCTAAATGCAGTACCTCGACTGATCTTTCGCTTTTTATTTAAAAAAATATTATATTTTTTTGAATGGAGGTGGGGTGTGTCCTCTGTCTCCCCCCCCCCCCCCTCCCGTGATGGGTGGAGGCAAAAACAGAACCTCCTTTAGTTCTGATGAACTGTTCATCGCTGATGAAGATGATACCCGTCTCTCCTCTTCCTCTCTGTTCTAAGGCTGCAGGAGGAGGAGTCTCGGCTGACAGATGCGTTTGATGAACGTCAGGCACTGCAGGGGCGGGTGGAGCAGGTTAAGGTGGAGAACAGGAGACAGAAGACGGAGTATGATGCTCTGCTGGAGCGCCAGAGCAGGGTGGAGTCGAGGCTCAGGGAGGAGAAGGTTCAAGAAGAACACAAGCTGGAGGACATGATGTACCTGAAGAAGCAGGCTGCTGCCCACATGAACATCTGCAACAAACGCCGGTCCAGGTGTCTGAAACACAACACACCTGCTCAATGCACCTGTCTAACTCACCTGTTTACCATTCCTGTTTAAGACACCTGTTGTTTTCCCCACCATTGTACAAGTGGGGCGCTCCACTCCGTCAACAGAACCAAGCGCCCCGTCTAAGCTAGCGGCGCATAATACAGGCGCGCTAGCTAAATAGCTAAAGTGCCTCTTCCCTCCTGCTGAACCATCACGATGCCCCCCCCCCCCCCCCCGCTCGAAAACTGTCAGTACAAACAGCCCACCCCCACGTCGGTACGAGATGAGCATCCTGCCATGGCAAGATATCTAGAGGAAACACTGCACACCTGTTTAACATATCTCTTTATTATACTTGTTTACTATACTGTTTAACACACATTATCAGTTTAACACACCTGTTTACTGTTATTATTATTATTATTATTATTAACCTTTATTTAACCAGTCAAATCCCACTGAGATCACAGATATGATTTGCAAGGGAGGCCTGGGCCTGAAGGCAGACTAACATGCATGTTTTTAGTCTGTGGGAGGAAACAGGAGTACCCGAAGAAAACCCATACATGCACAAGAAGAACATGCAAACTCCACACAGAAAGACCCCAGGTCCAGTCGGGGATTGAACCCAGGACCTTCTTGCTGTGAAGCAACATTGCTAACCACTGATCCGTCGTGCTGCCATACCTGCTTAACACACCTGTTTACTATACTTGTTTTTCACACCTGTTTACCATACCTGTTTATTACACCTGTTTATCGCACCTGTTTATTACACCTGTTTATCGCACCTGTTTATTACACCTGTTTATCGCACCTGCTTAACACACCTGTTTACCATACTTGTTTTTTCACACCTGTTTACCATACCTGTTTATTACACCTGTTTATCGCACCTGTTTAACACAAACCGAATTTCAGACAAAAAAGTGTCGTAACACAAATGTAGAAAAACAAAAACTCTGTTTTTAAATGTCTTTATTTTCTTTGTTGGGGTGTTCTCACTGCATTGTCCCTTCAGGGCCACCGCACCCTCGGTGTCTAACTGCTGTTTTCTGTTTGTGTTCCGTTCAGAGCTCGACAGGCGACCCTGCAGAAGGAGCTGCAGACAGCTGCCAAGTCAAAGGTCACCGTGGACAGGTGACATTTTCCTGTTTTCATACCTGCTTCATGAATCTAAGGCTTTTTTATGATTTAGGTTATTTATTGTTTAAGTCTGAATCTAGTTTAAATGACTGGAAATAATCTGACATTTCTGATTAAATAATCTGAACCTTAAATAAATCTGGTCAGAAAATGATTTTATTTTTGGATGATTTTGTTGATTTGAGCTGTTTTTGTTTCAGATTTTTAGAGTTGAAATCATTTCAGCTGGTTTTGTGCAGAACTCTTTCAATGATGAAGATGTTTGTCGACTCTTCATCAGGACTGTTTGTCTTTCAGTTCGTCCAGCGCTCCGTCCTCCAGGTCCACGTCTCCGAAGGCCGACCCGCAGGACGAGTCCAGCAGAAGAGCTCCAGCCTGTCTCTTCAGGTCATTGATCTCTGATTGGTTCTGGTTCTGATCAAGTTTTTATGTCAAGTTGGATTTTATTTACAAAACACAATGTTTAAAAAATGTCACTGTCATTTTTTATCAGACAAATGGTTAAAATACTTAAAAACAATCTAACTTATAACATATATTTGTTAGTGTTTATATTAGTATCCATATTAGTATTATTATCATCTGTATTAGTATAAGTATTAGTGTTATTGTTAGTCTTAGTATATGTATTAGTATTAGTATCTGTATTAGTATTAATGTTAGTTTTAGTATAAGTATTAATGTTAGTATTAGTATAAGTGTTAATGTTAATGTTAGTATTAGTATAAGTATTAATGTTAGTATTAGTATAAG